CACACACTCACACACACACACACACACACACTGGAGGGATTCATTCAGAGCTTCACACACCGCAGCGGCGCTCCAGAAACACTCAAGAGATGCATTCATACACACTCCATCTCAACAACAGAGAAGATCTGACACAACAACTAATCATCTACTCTGGCTTCATCTTTCAGTCAAATCCTGAAATTGTCTTAAAACTTCACTTACAGCTAAATTTCTTGTAATTTCAGGTGATTTTAACTCCACTTGCTTTAATTTGAACTTCAATTGCACGTCCTGCTTGCTAGCTGATCTCAATAATATTAAAAACCTGTTGATTATTGAGTATGTATGTTTATATGAAAGGACATCCATGTTAATTCAGTCCTGTGCTGTTCAGAGGTGTTTCAGTTAATTAAACTAAAATCATTAAAGAAAACAGTTACCTGAAATAAAACATAAACTGAAATAAAATTTCTTATTTTCATTTAGTTTAACTTGCTGTACAAAATAACTAAAACAACTGAAAGAAAAATTAATTTCAAAAATCTACAGACGTATTTAAAAAAAACTAATACAAATTACAACAACACAACAAAATTATTTAAACTAACTAAAACTAAAATGAAATCAGAAAATATTAAAATTCTAATTCTAAATATTACAAAATATTAGAAACAACATGGAATTAAAAATTAGTCCCAGCGTAAGACTGTTTAGGTGAACTTCAAAAATTCTAAAATCTAAATGGGAATATGTCAACCTATCGTGTGTGTGTGAGTGAGTGTGTAGAGTGAGTGAGTACGTGCGTGCGCTGGCAGGGTGATTCTCTTGAGGAAGAAGTCCAGCCCTATCGTCTGTTTATACTGTCTCCCAAAAGCCTCTTGTGCAAAGCGGATGGCGAGAGAAGTCTGAAAACACACACACACACACACACACATTAGAACAGTTTAAACTGAATTACATTGTTCTCAGCTATCCTGAGGCTCCGCCTCCCCTGTGGTTACAAAGGGAGTGACTAAAGGATGACAACATCTTTGATTGACAGGTGCTTCACATCGAGTGCCACAACCAATCAGATCGTGTCTGTGTGCAGTGAGAGACCAGATTCCCATTACCACATAATACACACACACACACTCACACACAGGACATAACACACACCACAGAACCTCACACACACACACACACACACGAACCTCACACACACACACACTGCGGTCAGGGTCAACATTAATTCAGTATGATGGATGTCTAATGGCTCTAAGTTTACAAACACAGAACGGAGTGACTTTAACTTACAGTAATAAACTGACAGCACTCATTCACAGTAAGACCAGGAACATTAATTATGTCCAGTTTAATTCAAGGAGATCATGGATTCCCAAAGCAGCAAAACCACCCAGAGATTTTAGTTTATTATTTTAATATTATTTCATTTTTTGATTTTTTTAAGGCAACCCAACACAGTTAAACAGAGGAGAAAAACTAATAAACATCACCATATTTTCCCAAGTTGATTAATCACAGTATAGGCAATTGTTTTTTATTACAATCTTTCTGAATTGTTATGTTTAAATCTACAAATGATCCATTAACTAAATATGCACTCATTTGCATACATTTCCAGCACATCAATCTGATCGTTGTATAAAGTCGGTAGCGCTGTTCGCTCTAAGAGACGTTTAAACAACTCCATCTGGAGCCAGAAGGGCTTGAACACGCACTGCTACCCAGAAGCCTCTGCTGCGGCCGCGAGGTCACCGCCGCTGAGAGCACAAACGCTGTGGATGCCACACAAACCAAACACAGAAATCCAGGATAAAGACAACTTTCCTGTGGTCTGAAACCCTGAAAGACATTTCGAGAAGGAAACTTGGCCCTTTCCTGAGACTGAAACACGCTTTCACACAAACCTAAGAAGGGTTCGATTCATTGATTTTAATCAGCCTTCATTTTGATGAACTGATATTACAGTTTTTCAACACATTTTCAAAACTTTGCCTCTTTTTTTCAAAACTTCACACACAGATCCAAGAATTGCACACAAAATGCTAAAAGCCTTGCAAAATGAAGCGCTGCATTGAAAATATCACAAACACATCTCAAAAGCAAGCATTTGCAAACACCTTTGCCATAATATTAATTCCTGTTAGATGTGTGAAATTTTGAAGTAGAAAGACTAAAATATACTCCAAAAATCTTCTTTTTTTTTACAACTTTGAAAAATAATTTGTTTGCCGTTTTCTGTTGATGCATCAACAAAACTTCACTAAACATTATTTACAGCATGTCAGCCATCCCATAATCACAATAAGCTTAGTTTTTTATTAGTTTTAACATGCAACAAAGTCTCCACGTTCAAACTCTGTCAATTTTATCATGAAATTCAATCAGTAAAGGTGTGGCTCTTTAATGTGTGCTGATAGATCGCCGATCATTTCTTCCTCTTTACTACTAGTTATAGCAGCAAATAAACATGAATGAACATCAGAAGAATCAGAACAACTCACTGAAATCAATCCTGAATCATGGAATCCATCAAATCTGCTGAAAGACGACAATAAACAGCTCATAACATCACATTTACCTCAAGAAAGACATCCAGTGACCATAAACTCAACAGTCAGCTAGAAAAATAACTCTAGCCTAGGTTTAAAGGTTTATATTTCAACAACAAATTGGATTATATTATTGATAAGTTGATCAAACTGACTGATGTGCATTTACTATTTATGATTTGAGTGTTCAGCTGCTCAAAACACTTAATATGGATCAGAATGACCTGGATTTGGAAATCCCATGTTTTTCGTACATTTCTGCTGGTTTTTCAAAGCTAATTTAGATTGGATCGCAATGATCCAGATGCGCATGTTTCCAGAAGAGCACAGCTGGATAACTCGCACACTACAGAGACATGGTGATGGAAAAATTAATAAATCAAACAATGCTTTTGCCTTCTCTTGCACTGCATTCACACGAGAAACTCTGAGTTCGCTCACAAATAACTATTTCTGCTTCATTTCTGATGATTGTGCCAATGTAGTTCATAAACAGTGATTTCAATATTTTTGTTTGATACTGACAGCTCTTTGAGGATTATTTTATGCCACCAAAAACACTTTTTCACTTTACTGTAGGCGACTGAATAACATCAAATGTATACATATTTTTATGCGTTTAAAGGTTTTCCTTTCATATAGATGTTTTTCTTTTTATATTGCTTGTTTAAATCATATAATCTCATTTTAACATTTTGGCAGCACAATCTATATTTACATATGCAAATCAGCATATTATTATGATTTCTGAAGATCACGTGACACTGAAGACTGGAGGAATGATGCTGGAAATACAGCTTTGAGAGAAAACAGATAGTTTTACATCTACGTCAGTGAAGCCTATATATATGATTATACAGTAGCATACAGTATGGTGTTTATTGATGCATATCTCCATTAATATACAATGCTATTTTCATCTAATCTATGGTGTAAGCATTTAAGCGAGCGTGATAAATACAGTATGGCTATCATAAGCGATTATTGATATCATACTATCTGATTGATTTCTCCCGTGTTGTGTACCTTCCCCGACGCTCCGTCTCCCAGCAGCACGATCTTCAGCTGCCGCTCCTGGGTCTCCTCCTCAGAGTCCGACATGCCTCGCAGAACACGACACAAACACGCTCACGAACCGAGCTCACGCCGTTAAACACCGAGCAGCGCGATAATCTGTTCACGATCCGCTCGCCGCCATCTTTCCTCGGCGCAAACCAACACGGGTGGACTGGAAGGAATGGACTCGTCCTTCGTGACGCTTCCCCTGTTGCCATGGAGACAGAGAGAGAGAGAGAGAGAGAGAGAAGAGAGGGAGAGAGAGAGGGAGGGAGGGAGAGAGAGAACTAAACTTGTTTTTTTTGTACATCTACACATTGTACAGTTTTCTTTTCTTCTTCTTCCTTAAGACAATATCTGAACTATTTTCTTATTTCTTATTTATATATTTAAAAAAAATGTATTAATGTAGGCTAATTATCTACTGAATGATTTACAGATGTTCAAATGTTTTTAATGCAAAATATTCTATGACCATAACATATTTGGGCAATACTAAACTCCAGTTATCATGATAAACAATGCAAAAGATCTGAGCAGTAAAAGAGGTCAAATATAGAGTTTGTAAGAGAAGACAGAAGCAGATGAAGACTTGATCTGATCTCTTGAATCACTCAATCAACAGATTTATATTGAATAAAACTACAGAACTAATGCTTTTGATAAACGTGTTTATTAGCGAGAATGCATTATATCTGCAACTTTGAATGTGAGAATACTGGAGCTTTTCATTCACAAAGGCAAAAAATAGAATTAAACTGAATTATAATAAACTGGGAAGATCACAAAGTATTTTAGTAACTTAAAAGTCAGGAATCAAATGATAATACCTCGGTGCATTGATATGAATGATGATACATTCACACTGAAGGCCATACCAAGTGCAAACATCTGCTACTTTTAAACATTAATAATAATAATAATAATAATAATATAGTACTAGCACTGCTAAAATCATCTGCTAAATGATTAAATGTATATGTGACTGCAAATGTAAATGTAATTATTGTTGTTGGTAATGGTGTTTATTATTATTATACTGTAAGTGTACTTACAGAAAGAAAGAAAGAGAAAGAAAAAAAGAAAAAACTAACACCTTGCATCTGTATTATATGATCTTGGCCTCAATAAAGCACTATGCTGGGTGTGTCTGGTGTCATATGATGAAGGAAACACACACACACACAAACTCTCTCTCACACACACACACACACACACACACACACACACACACACACACACACACACACACACACACACAC